AGCGTAGGAAAGCTGGGGGGGAAATGGACACAGATAAGGTTTATCATCTGTTGATGAGGATGTGTGTGGTGGTCTCAACTGGGCTGGACTGAGGTGTATATCACACTGGGCGAAGTCTATTCACAATCTAAATGATGTATAGCGATTTAATGTATGAATAACAATAAAAAATATGAATAATAAAAAAGCTCAAATTTTTTTTAAAAAAATTGCTCAAATTTGCTTTTTGTCTGACATCACTTCATAGTTTAAAATGCATATAAAATAAACAGCAAGTAGTAAGCCATTAGGAAAAATAATACAGTGAGCAATGTGCAGCGAAGTGCTGTATAACATAGCCACATTTGTTTAAGAGTATTTCCAGAAGGCAGAACATCGACGGGATGGGAAGGGTGGTGTTATCGGTTGAAGATATTCTGATCAACGGGACTGGGGAGAAATGTTCACATATTGAAATGCTCACATTGTAAGCTAAACAATGCGACTGAATGTATATACAAAAAAAGAAAGAAATTAAAAAAAAAAACCCACAATGAGATACCAGTTCATGCCTAGTAAGATGGCTGTAATAAAAAAATAAATAAATAGCAAGTATTTATGGGGATGTGGAAAATAAAAAAGAGTATATCCAGGATCAAAGGCAAATGTCAGCCACGTAAAATCGCAATTCCACCAACCTGGACCCAGCACACTGTGGGACCAGCTGCTTCAGTGCCCACAGGGAGGCCTCCTGTCCACAGGGAAGGCTCCTCTTCCCAGGTCTGCACGCCCCACATGCACAGAGTCTAGAAAGCACACCGCTGGCCTGTGGGCCTGTCCCTTCCCCTCACTCCTGCTGCATGACTAGACTTCATGGGCCTGCAGGTGTCCTGTCCAGACTCCTGTGGCCAGTCCTGCAGGCCCAGTGCTCAGGCCAAGAGTGGAGTGTGAGCGGGTGTTCCCAAACCCGGGGGGGGAGTGAGGGGGGCTCGGTCAGACTCCCCACACTGACTGCCATGCCTCCCTTCATCTGTAGATGAGTGACCAGAGAAAGGGGTCAATGACTGCAGGAGGACAGAGGGGAGGAGCAGGGACAGGAAGAGGATTGGGGAAGGAAGACTAACAGGTGGGAGAAGACATTTTACATGAAAACAGTGAAATGCCTGCAGACCCCAACCTTGGCTGCCCTGGCTCTGAGCTTCCCTGGCCAGGCTGTCTGGGGAATGGTGCAAGCCGCTGACCCGCCCATGGAGCACAGCCCCTTCCCCAGACCAGAGCCCTGCTCGGCTCCAGCTCTCCCGGCTGCAACTCTCCAAGCCCCTGTGAATGGCTGTGCTTCTTCTTAAGCCTCCGCCCTGGGAGTCCTCAAGAACCTGACAGCAGGGATGCAGTCCCTAAGAAATGCCAGAGGGACTGTCAGGATCCTGGCCTGTGACCCAGCCGGGAAAAGGAGCCTTCCTGTAGGGCTTTGTGCTGCTGTTCTGGACAGGTCACAGCTGCCCTGGACGTCTGTGTTCTCTACGAGCAGAGTGGACCTTCCAGAGACCCATCTAATTCTCCCCATGGCCTCTGGTAGTTAAATTTTGGTCACTGCAGCCGCTACAAGATTTGGCTCATCTGTCTGCTGGCTGCTTTATTAGTATCTATTTTTACTCATAAGGAAGAGATAAACAGACAAGGATTTCAAGTCTGACGCAAACCTCATTGTTAAAATTAGCTATTCATTACTAACAGCCTTAGAAATGAAAGCCAGACCATCACCTTTGGCAAGAATTGGAAGCATAAAGATGCAAGTATTCATCAATTAATTGAAACCCGGGTGAGGCTTTTGCATACACAGGAACTTTAGGGTTTGTTCTATTGGACTGAATTTAGACTCCTCAGTGAACGCTGAGACTCCGGTTATATATATTCACGAAGCTGTGGCTTCCTGAAGTTTTCTTGGCAGCGTGAAGGAATATATTAAAATCTGGACTCCTTATGCGCTTCCCAGAAGAAATCAGCAGTCAGCTTCTTCTACCATAAAATTAATCCAGAAAATAAATGAACATAATGCAAGAAATAATTCTATTGGGACATGCAGGTTCTGTAATCCCAAGAATACCCAACGAGATTTTTGCCTTGTCATTCGGAGTCTCTTTATGTCAAGTCTTCGGGAATTGAATTTGAAACAGACCATAAAAGATTTCCAGGAAGCTCCTATGGGGCTAAAAATGAAGAATTACAGCAATGGAAATAAATCAGATTTCCAAAATGACTTTCGATAACACTGTGTTAATGACCTTGGGGGAAATCCCTGTCAGGAGAAACGTTAGGCCATGGGCGTCCGGTCAGTGGCACTAGGTCCCTGCAGGTTGAAGATAGCATCGTTTGTCTCAAATCAATAAGCAGAGAGATTACAGGAACAAAGTCCCCACAATACAAAGAAAAATCAAGCCTGACTTACTGTGATTTATGTTAGCCAGCGCTTGGTGACATAGACACCACGAGATCTCATTCTAAGTACTCTACAGGTAGCAGCCAGAGAACGGGGTCACGTGCTCTACAGAAGAAGGAGGAGAGGCGAAGAAGGGAGGGAGGAAGGCTATGAGGAAGGGAGAGAGCTGCCCAGGAAATCTTGGTTAAGTGCGTAAGCATGTCTTCCCCTGGGTGGGGCAGCAGCTGGCATAGTGGTTATGTCACTGGACTCCCACACGGCCGACAGCGGTTTGAGTTCTGAACCCAGTGGCTTGAAAATCATGCAGGAGTGTGTGCATGTATGCCCAAGATCCCAGGAGAAAAACGGAAAAGAAGGGATTGCAGTGTGGCCATCCCTCCTGGGTGGGTGATTTCTCAC